CCGTCGGCTCCGCCGTCGTCCCCGTGCCCAGAATCGTCCAGATCCAGCGAAGGATCGGTAGAAACACGTGAAAAAGAAGAGGGATTACCTTCTTCGCCCTGCACGACCTCGGTCTCGTTGATGTTGGTGCTATCCATGGCAATACTTCGAGTCAGCAACAGCAAGGTGAGAATCGAGGTTGTAGAAGAAGGAGAGGAATCCCAGAGACGGCAAGAAAGTACAAAGAAAAAACGAAGTTTTCTTTCACGATAAGCAAAGTGGGTTCCAACTTCTCGGCAGAGAGGAGGTATTTATACTCGACAACGGAAAGCCGAAGAGTTAAAGTTACATCGAGAATCGCAACTGTCAGAGCCTTTTCAAATTTCAAAACGGCCGCCAAAATTGACCAACCATCCACAGACACGTGGCAACCTACTCAACATAGGCACTAGCCGCTGACGTCACAGGTTCCGCACAGCGCCTGGGGGACAGGATACGTCCACGAAGGAGAAAAAACACGCTCAAAAACAATCCCAACTAAGAAAGCGGCACGCACGACCAACCCCGGAGATCTCGACCACTCGCGGGATATCACTAATGGGGGGCAATGTGAAAACGGCGCGCACAACCAACCCCGGATATCTCGAGCGGACGAAAATCGCGCAAGTAACGCACCAGCTGCGCGCGCCACCGAAGATCACGCGGAGACCAGATCGCGTCGATAATAATCAACAACGCGGAAACAGGCAAGTTCGCACAGATCCGAGTCGCTCACGTGAGGATCAAACAGGCGGCATTCGCGGAATACCCCCTGATGGGGGGCAATTGTTGGGGATGTGACTCGGATCTCACCACGCCGAAGAAATACCCAAGGATGCTCGCGCCGGAGCCAAACGCGAGTGTAAAGGCCGCCTCCGAAGATCGCGCATGGACACTAAACGACGGCGCTTTGGACAAGCGTGGGGCCTCGCCGAGATGTCGTAGAAGCGGCGCCGCGTCACCCAAAGGGTAGTCACCATCATAGTCCTAGGTATAGTCATGGCTAAAGGATCTTGTCACCCATAGGGGGATGGCCTATGTTCCTGACATGTCAGCGGTCATGTCACCATACCGTAGTGGTCACGTCATCGTACCGTCATGTAAACTCATCCACCACCATGTAGCCTATAAATACGGCATTTACTCCGGTGGGTGAAGGGATCGGATTTTGGGAGAATCACACTCTATCTCTAGAAAGAACGAACTTCTCTCACTAAAGATACTCTCTCAACCCTATTCTTCCTTCCATTTGTCTCAAAGTCCTTGTTTAACCAAGTCATTCATTCTTCTCGACCCGTTCTCGTGAACCTCACTCCTACACTCAGTTAGGTTCAAACAATTAGTAATAGTATAGTACCACCACCGGTCAAAATCAATGTAACAAAGACAAACGACATAACCCAACAATTAATAACCAATTTGTCCATAAAGGAAACAAATTAATTAGGCACATTATTTTACCAATTTGGATAAATTTGACACTGCCATTTGCATGTTGTGTCTCATTGCCTGTGACTGCAGATTTTCTTTTGTGTTTCGAATAGTTTATATCTATTATCAAGAAATACACCGTTACAAATAAAAATGATTTTTGCTCCTGCAGCAGCGACAATGACCTTAGGGGTCGTTTGGATGAGGAATTCTAATGGATCAATCTGACATGATTGTCTCGTTTTGAGTCAATTGTGCTAGATTGATCCGTTTGGCAGCAGAAAATTTGGATGAAACAATTTGGGCTGGGGAATTCTGAATTGACTCATTTTGAGCCAATTACAATTGTCTGGGGTGGGGGCAGGTAATCTGAATTGACTCGTTTTAAATGACTCGTTTTGTAAAATGAAACAATTGGTCAAATTGTCTCGTTTTACAATTGATCCATCCAAACGACCCCTTAGAAAAGACTGGGATGGATGCTATTGGAGAAAGACTACAATATTCCAAACTATTTGGGGAAATTTGAACAATTCCCATGATTTTTAGCATATGTTTGGCTCATTTTGATTATTTTCTTCCTTTGTATTGCCAAATGTTTGAACTTTGAACAGAAAGAGGACAATGTAGCTGCTGGGTAGGCAGCTTCATGGAAACTAATTAAAATGGAGTCATGCATGATAAAGTAATATAGAGTTTCAATCGGAATATATTAATAAGAAAAACATTTCATTAATTTAAACGTGATGGTTTCAATCTTTAATATATTGGTCGTAATTTGACGTGTCGTCGTCTACATATTATGATCATCCAGTCCATATCTATACACTTATTTTTCCTTCTCTTCGTCAGCTACATTTCTCTCTTTTTTGGTAAGAATCCATACATTTCTCTGACAGCAGCATCTGAGTTTGTAATAAATATGCATATTGGTGGTTTATATATCTGAATTTGATCAAATTAAGTAATGAGTAATGACTGTTTGATAGTAAAACCGCACAGTATGTCAGTGGGATCGAAAAAGCCTTTTATCAGAGTTTAAATCGGTAGGCGTCATTTAGCAGTATGAAATGATTCACGGTTAAAATCACGTTTCTACACAAAATGTCTTACCACTAATTTTTCCCGTACGGTCTCCGTTGCGATTTTACTAAGTTTGAGACTAACTAATTCATGACATGTTAGATCAAAGCATTGGTTTGAGAATGATATCTCGTATTCAAGACTTCCCAACTCTCGATATTAACCGGTCATTCAAACAAGTGATATACTGAACATGTATATACTCAACTTCATGAGTTGACTTTCATTTAATAGGAAATATAATGAAATGGTTAAAATTCGATAACCGACAACGACATCGGCAGCCGTTAACTAAGATTCAAGAAGGCTTTGCAACTATTTAGATTATTTTAATATTGTATAATCACACTGTGTAGATAGAAACTATTGAATCCTACTCCATTAATCATAACGTAATTATGTATGAAACGAAACTCATGTAGATCGTTTTGACTGCTGTCGGCTGGACGTCTTTTTTTTCTCAAGACCACGACATGTGCCAGAATACATGTACTGATATAATTAGTGTGTAGACTAGCTAATTAATCCGAGAGCAATGGAGTTCATGTAACTTAGACAGAGTTACGGTATAAAATTAAGTATGATGGAATTCGAGCAAACTAAGGATTTCATCATCACATTCATTAATTAATTTTAGCATATATAATATGGGCTTTGTGCAGCCAGTGTATGTAAACAATTCAAGGCAACCCGAGATTTTTCCTAATTCAGGGTTGGCTTGTTAAACAATTATCTCGAATTTGATATGAGATTTAAAGGACCAATTCGAGTTTGACTCGTTTGTCAATGCATTAGTTTGGGCTTCTTTGTTCGAGGTTGATTCAATAAGTAAGCTTTACAAGTCAAATTATAGCTCAACTCAACAAATGAGCTCATTGAGTTCATAAATGAGCTAAATAAGGTCGACTTAACGAGTCTGTTTACAAGATAAGCAACCAGTTATACCAAAAAAAAAAGATTGAATAAAAAAATCAAACAACTTATGAACAACTTAATTCATTTGCAAGATTAAAATCACATATAATATTCCATGTAACAATCAACAATTTCGTCATCTTGCTTCGGATGGGCTGAGTTGGCCAAAGCAGTTGAATGGGCTTCTTTTGTATGGGCCCGCAGTATGTAAGATTAGACCCTCCGCTTTGAACGAAAATAGCGCAACAGAATATTACCCAATAGAGATCGAGTTATCTAAGCCCATTAAGGGAACTTGTGAGGGAAGTCATAAAACAACTATTCTCGATAATTTTAATGGTTGGAAAACATAATGTATTTAAGTACTTTCTTACATGATTTCTCAAACAAAAATCAATTTAATTATGGGTTTGAAGGTTGCACAACCCATCATACTCATGTATTTTAATTTTTAAATGAACTGATAATATTGAGAGTCTTGAGGACTACAACACGCAACATCACTAACAAAAATAGCTTTGGCTTCATGTCATAAACCAAATGGTCTCAATAACTAGAGTTGTTGTGAAATTCCATATATGAATTTTAACCACTACCTTACAATCGACCAAATTTTAGCCTAGTAGTATTTGACACAACAACGTGACTAGGTGTTAGGTTTAATCCAGTGTATACATACACACACTCGATCAGTTGTTTGTTTCCCCCCTCTTACATCTCATGTAGCCTTCGTTGTCAAAGGTATCCGAGACGTAGGCAGTGGCGGAGGCAGGATTTGAAATTGCCCCTGTCCTCTTTTCGAATTATAAATATATAAATATTTAGTAAATCTAATTAAATCTAATTAAATTAATAATATCTAAATAATTTATTTTCGTATATAAAAGATAACGACTAATACAATCAGTATTTTCATAAACAACCATGACGATTTTTCATACTCTTAAAGAAACACAAAATGCATTCATTGTCTACACTATTAAGTAAGTCATTTTCAATGGATCTCACTAAACAACCATTAGCAAACTGGTCATGAATTCGACCTCAAAGTTCGTTCTTGATATAGCTCAAAGTTGAAAATATATTATCTACACTTGTCGTCAAAACTAGTGGAATTTGCGATGCCACTAGACTGCTTCAAGATTGATGGGCAAATAATCGAATAGGCATATGAAGAAAAGATATCTATTCCAATTGAGATTTCGTTTGTAGTATAATAAATTAATCTAATATAATTTATAATCAAATAATGAGTTGTGATACAGTGACAAAATACGTTGTATTGGTGTTGTGTTCCATCATTAGTATAAACACATACGAAGTATTTTTTGTGCCTCCCAAAATTTACCCATGTCCTGGGACAATGCCAAACATGGCTGCCTCCGGCTATGGACGTAGGTTTAACAACTTAAATGACGCTCTTCTGATTTTGAGACTTGGGGGGATCTGATGAAAGGATTTCTCTATCCTCACGATAATACTCAACTCAACCAGAATTACATTAGTGGATCGATATGACGTGAGAAAATAAAATACCTTAACATGAAAAGACGTACTTTGGAGCGCCTTAATTCACTCATTGAGGTAAGATAAAGGTGGGGTTTATCACTAGCTAGTACTACACATTAGTTTTAGTGCATGTACTTCATGGCTAATCAAAATCAATTACACATCACTTGAGCTAAATAAGAAAGTATTAGTTTTCAAAAACAACAAGAAAGGACGTTTTGGTTGGTGTGGGACCTTTGTCCCTTTGGTCAAATAGAGATTACGTGATGGGAACTTTGCCTAATCGTTGTGTCATTGAACTAAGTAAGCAAGTAAAACCCAAGTACCCAACCAACACAAAACTCTCTTCTTCTTCTTCTTCTTCTTTTCTTCATCATAAGAGATATCAAATCATGGAGAAAAAGAATGTTGGAATTGTGGGAATGGAGACATTATCTCCGCGGAGCCACCCCCTGGCTTTCACCAATTCATATAATAAGTTAACTAACCTAGCTACAAATCAAAACAGTCCTATGTATTGCTGTTCTTGTGCTTACAAGCTATAGCTAGCTAGAGTTTACATCATGTTTTCCATGCTGTAATTTGCTACTTAATTAATTAGCTAGAGTTTATTATAGATCAGTCACTTTGTTAAAGAGATAACCATGTTAAGTCAAATCATCATCATGTTGCTTTGGCGTGTATGAAAAAAGATGAAGGATCGATGTCTACAACACGACTTATGAGCGGTAAAGTATTTTTGTAGTTAATTAATCTGAAAAACATTTGTAGAGTAGAGAAAAGTTATTGGAAATTTGGACGAGGTACAACTGTACAAGAACGAGTCAATCTTAAATAATTTCATTTCATATACCTTCAAACAAAAACCAACCCATTAGTGCTTTGAAATTAGTTGATTTAAAAACATCTCTCGTTCAGTATATTGTTTCTTATATAATGTAAAGAAATTAACAATATTTAATCTTTGCTTAATGGATTTGGAATTATGTTTTTTTTCCCCCTGCTATTGATTCAAGGATTTCTAGGGAGAACAAAGAGAGTCTATCCTCTAATTCGAAGCTACTATCTCCAGATTTGGAGTTTAATTGTTGGTTGTTGCAACGCCTTGCAAAAGGGTACTGCTGAAAGTCAATTACCACTATATCAAATGAACTGAAACAAGTGTGATATGCTTATGTGGAGAGTTACAAACAGTAGATATGTCATTTCTGTCGTTCAATTAGAAATGATAATGTTTATGTTGAGATCTTGCACAAATTCACCGTATATTATGCTTCAATAAATATTACGGATTGAGCTGCTATTAGATTGAAACCAAACAAACTACTATTCAATTTGATTATCGAATGCTCTGAAGTGTATAGTAAGGATTCACATTCATACCTATGAATGATTCAATTTTTGGAAGAGAAGTCTAACAACGAATCTTTATTATGATTGACCCTTGCACATATAACGTTGGTTTTGTCTTGGGATTATTGTTGCGGTTATTCTAGTAGTTGTTCCCTTGGCAAAACTGATCATTTGACAAAGGAGAATCATACTTGTCGTTCAATGGAACAAGTTTCAATGACTTTCGTGAAATAATCAGTTACAAACATTTTTTGTTCAACTGTGCATCCACTCATCTCTCCAGAAGAATCAGGACATTCACACAAAGGTCAACTAATTGAGTAATTTGTTGTTACCACTTGCACTTTCAACCAGATAATATAAGAAATATCGTTTACTAAATTCGAACCCAACACCGCTAAGTTGGACACTTCATCCAAAACTCATACGATAATATAGTCCATTGGATCAATTTGATTCTAGTGACCCCGGCTTCCGATAAAAACATAGCGGCAGGATGATCAACCAATCATAAACTTGAAAAAATTTGAAGAAAAAAAAAAGAGAAGAAGAGATTAGTTTCATCACTAGTACACTATGCACGTGCGTTTAAACTTTATAGTCTTAAGGACAAGTCAAGCTGGCCGCTGAACTCCTCTTGAACATGGCTCTCTCTATACCCCATAGCCACATACCACGAGTTACGATCACGATCAACCGCGAAGTTCGGCTCTTCATAACATTCCTGCATGACCTCCATATCTCTGGAGCCACGTGCAGACGACGAAGACATCTTCGTCTGCACGTGGCTTCTGTTCCATTGATCAGCAGCAGTAGAGCTCGAACCCGCGTAAGCGCCCTTCTTGGCTCCACCGGCAGCATGGCGAGCTGCTCGAGCCAGGGCCGCCGCGGTGGACGAGCTGCTGTTGTTGCTGGTGGTGGTCATGATCTCGCGGCTCTTCTTGGCCAGGGTGCGCTCGAGCTTGTGGGCGTTCTGGTGGCCGCCCAGGGCTTGGGAGCTGTAGAACTTCCTCTGGCAGTAGTTGCAGGAGAAGACACGAGGCTCGTGATGAGCCGGAGCAGCTCGTGGGGACGAAGTCGTGGAGGAAGAGGAAGATCGGTAAGGGTCGAGGACGAGGTCGAGGTTCACCACCTGGCCATAGTACTCGTGATCGTGGTGGTCCATCGGGTGGTGGAGGCTCAAGTTTAGGGAGGTGTTGGGTTGGAAGTGATGAGCATCCATTGGGCTAGCTAGCTAGCTAGCTTGTTATGTATAAAACTTGTTAGGAAGATATGAGAAGTTATATGGAGAACTTGAAAGAGAGTTGTGTATTTGGAATGGAAGTTTGTGTAGGTATATAATGGAGTAGGGAGGAGAAGGGCACTATATGGTTTGATGTTCCTACAACCTTGTACGTATATAGTTGAGTAGGGAAAGTGAAGGATGAAGTGGGATATATATTGGCATATTGAGATAGATTGAGAGAGGGACATGAGAGAGAGAGAGAGAAGAGGATATCAAGTGGGGAATCAAAGAAGCTGTCGCCTCTATTAATGGCAACACTGTTATCCCCTGTCGGTCCATCAAACGTTCCAATGCCTCCTAGCTCCCATTACATTATTTACTCCCTCTTTTTTCTTTCTTTTAATAAAGGCAATTAGGGTGGTGTGAAAATTCAAATCCACTAATAGTTTGGGTCTTAAAAGATTTATGGGTGGGTTTGGATCGACCTTGGATATATCTATGTTATTTTATGAGTAAATTGATTGATAATATTGACAGCTATTGGGACTTGAGAATAAGATTTCTCGATTAGAGAGTTTAGTATCTCGTGGAGTAACATACAATTTTTCCGATAACTAGAACATGTTGAGAAAAATTCAAATACGAAATGGTATTTTATATATATATGGTGAAGTATTCGGTGCACTCACTTTTTTGGGTGCGTTCAATGTACCCGCTTCATAATCGTCATTCCGAGCATGCAATTCATTTCAAAACGATATCAATTGTCACTTATGATATTATGAACAATAAACACATGAATTTGAAAAAAGGTCATTCAAGATTTACTTTATTTTGAAGGTTCAAGGGTTTAGAGATTTAGGGTAGGGTTAGGGTTTATAATTTGGGGGCTTGGGTTTGTATTCAAAATTGAAAGCTTAGGGGTTAGGGTAATGAATTAATTAGTTGTCTTAAGGCTACTTGTAGATTTGGGTGCATTGAATGCACTCATTTTTGTGGGTGCACTGAAGTAGCCAAAAACTATATATATATATATATATGGTTTCTGTTAGCTTATTGTTAATGATATGTACATTACACATGACAATATGACATGGTCACCTCTCCCATGTTCCAAAAGCTCTCTTTCTCTTTCCTAAACAATCGATTAAGGAATTCAGATTTTTGTATAGTTTGCATGAAGAATCGAGGAAAGGTCATCAGTAGTCACCTGACTCATGGGCCGCAAAATGAAAGCCGCCGACAAAATGCACAATTATTGTAATGAACAAACATTGATCCTTTTCCTTTGTGTGGGCTTACCTTACTTTTGAACTTGATACTATATGTTCCTTACAATTAATTACATATAAAAGTTTTGCCATCTACAATAAATTCAGTTCTTTTGTAAGCACTTATGAACATGATATAAGATCGATTCTAAAATCGAATTCTCTTAATAACCCGAGTTATTGATATTAATTTTTTTTACGTGATTTCAAAGCTTACGATGACCAAAGGTTTTTTGTTCGAACCTCGTGACCCTCCGTTGATTTAAGCACATGACGTGGTGGGTACATAGTACATTGCAATCTTCAAGTTAATTAATTGATTTTCGTTTGAGAGGGGAGTGTAAGGGAATGTGATACGGTCCATTCTAAAATCTACCTAGCGATAATTTGAGTAATTGAGACCAACTGATTTCCAACTCGATTTATTAGGGCATCTAGTTTCTTGACATAGTAGCTAGCAGAGTTTGTCATGATCGGAAGGACTTCAATTAGAATTCTCGCGACCCTCAATATTAATAGTTGACGCAAGCACACAATATGGTTATAAATTTTTGCTAATTTCAAAATGATGGGTTAACTTTCATTTGAGATAACGTATAAAAAAATAGCATACAATTCATTCTCCGAGCCTTTCTACTATGCTTTAAAGTATTGGTGTTTTAAACTACAACTTTAAGTTGTACCATAACGTTAAAGATACAAGTTAGAGTTGTACCCATAAGGGAATTTGATCTTTATGTTGTGGTACAACTTCAACTCTTCAAGTTGTATCATAACTTAAATGTACAACTTTATTTTGTACCATAAAAGAAATTTACAAAAGAATATAGGTACAACCTAAAATTGTACCATAACATTAAAGGTACAACTTTAAATTGTACAATAAAGGGAAAAACTAAATAACCAATGCTTTCAAGCATTGTAAAATTCCTCTTCATTCTCCTAACAACATATACCTACATAGGGTACGTACTAAAATGAAATTGACCAAAGAAAGTATTATTTTTTCCCTGATACTATCTTTCACAATAATTTATATATAATTTGAAGTAGTTGAATAATAGTTAAGGGGCCAACATGACATGAGGGATACAGTGAACAGAAGCGTGGTTGATTAGAAAAAAGGGTCTCCCTCCGATGAACTGATCGATTTGCTTTGCTTGCACCATGGCCAGTGCCTGCTGCTGCTGCTTCTGCCTCTGGCCTGAAGAATCAATCAAATGTTCCCATACCAAAACCCACTGGGTAGTGGCAGTCAGATCTCTCATATCCAAAAAGATTTGATATCTTTGCTTTGCAGTACAAATTTAAGTACGTACCCTCTAGTAGTGGAAGATGAGATTATGGGAATTCATTAGGTATGTAAATATGTGTATACAAATGCTTGCCCTAGATGGTGCACCGACGAGCAATTATTAACTCCAACTCCAAGGTTATAGGTTTTATTTTTATTTTTTACAAAGGATAATCATAGATTGAAAAAAGATAGTTACATTCTAGAATTCAGCCAGACTTGAAAATCAAAGAAACGACTCGTAGTTGGGTACAAAGACAGGGTCTTTCTAGCCACCAAATGAGCTACTCTATTGCGACTCCGACCTACAAATCGAATACTGAACCCCGTGTGCAGTGCAAAGCTGCGGACAACTTCTTCCAGAATAGTCCCCATTTGGTTGTCCCTGGTATCACCCCGCAAAACCTTGTCAATCACAACTTGGGCATCACCTTCAAACCTCATTTCCAAGAATTCCTGGCCCAAGGACCAGGGAACAGCCTCCTGGAGAGCAAGTAATTCCACCACCATGGGGTTATCAATGCAAGGGAATTGAACCCCTCGCACCGAAAGAACCTCTGTAGTATGGGTCATGATAACCATCCCGCCTGCCGTGTGAGAGCCTCTCTTGGTGGCCCCATCCCACATACAAATAGCCACCAAAGGCTCCACTGGAGCCAAAGAAAGGGTGGGAGCAGTGGAATGCTGGGGAGTCCGGTCCATCGGCAAACTAACCCATTCCTGAACCTGATGATTAAACTGGCGCATCAAGGCGAGTAACCCAAATTGCTTGCCCTCAAAGACGACCCAATTCCTGGATCGCCAAATACGCCATAGGATGGCAATCACTGCAATGAACAGGGGCGGTTGATGTACCAAAGATAACAGTTTCTTCAGGAAAAGAGGGAAAGTATGCCTAGGCAAGCCTTCCCCAAGATAGTCCAGGCCAGACAACTCCAAGAGTGCACGAGCGACTGGACAATCCATAGAATATAAGATTATCAATTAATTTGTGAAATGGTACCTTATATCGTCTTTTAGGTTAATATTATATCGGATCTGAGGGTCATATGATGATGACATGATGATCAGTTATGTGCACTAGTCCTGTCCGTAGTTCGTTAGAAAAATTCAATATACTCGCTCCGATCATGGACATAATTTCATGACGTATACACTAGAACATGCAGATCTATGGGTCTTTTTTCCCCTAACCTGGTATGTCAAATCGAGCTATCTTGTTTGTTGTAGATCGTTTTCTAATTTACTCTGAGTACTCCGTTCATATGTTGAAACCTGATTAATTTATTCCTTCGGGTTCTTCAATCAACAACATCGAGTATGTATGTGCCTTGTTGCACAATCTAATCGTTTGTAATCATTATTCTATTGGAGATCGTTTGTACAAATCATTCACGAGAAAAGAAAACTTATCATCTAACTAGTCATGGAATGCTTTCTTTTCTAGATGTGGTTGCCACCATATAGCACTAGCTCTCTAGCTAAGCTACAACCTCATGTTGAAGTCCTAAAGCTATATATGTGCGTCTTGCAAGGGAGCAAAAGTTGATGTCATGTCCCAAAGACATGCAATATTTATTTTGTTAAAGGTAAAGACTTGACCATCATAACCCCAATCTTCTCAATATATCACATATGCATGCATTGTATGTTTGTTAAGAAGGGCAAAGAATGAAAAGGAGGGCTAACTCTCTCGACAGTGGGAGAACCATTTCTGTTGAGGCAATTGAATATGGACTCAGAAATGACTGCACTATTGAAATAGCATATACATGTAATGGCATCACATTGGTCTTCCAACAATACTCAACCGTACGTCCACCACCACTACTAATTCCAATTGGTCCATCAATCCATTTGAGTTTGATGTCATGAAGGAGAAAAAAGGAAAGCCAGCCAAGTTGTTGCCAAAGTTTTCAGGGCAGTATTGTGTTGGAAATTGCAGAGGCAACACTGAGGGTTGGTGGTGGCCGGTGGGGAAGAAAATAAAAGATTGCAGAGATTTGGTTGGTCTCGTGGTAATATGGTGATGAAAATTATTAACTGAGTGATGAGCTTCAATGTTTAGGTCAAATTAGCATACACGGTCGAAGAAGCTTTTGTGGAAGTATCGATGGGTAAAATTCAATTAAATTTTGTATCAATTGCTTAACAGTTCATATGAGCTGATTGGTTTGTTTGATTATTTTGATTAGTGATCGGTTGTACCAAAAATTGAATCATTTTCATCGTGTGGATTGAATGCAAGGGAGTTGCGTTTTTGTATTGCATGGTAGTATCATGAGCATAAGATTCGTTCTTAAACATTTTTCAACATCTCAAATTAGTACGACTAGCCCATTCTTCCACATAGTATATGAGTCCATAATGATCCAAACATTACCTGACTAAATTGCAATGATGATGTCCCCCTAATGAATATGAACTCTTTGATTTGAACTTTGTGTGTATGCTAATTCCTTGCAAGCATCAAACTCGATAATTGGAATTCATTTAAACTGACTTATGTGTGAGCGTGATCGATACGTTTTTCGAATTCGACATCCCTTTTCAAAACAATTCCCTCAAAACTCTTCAAATTTTTATTTTAGTTTATTGTGGTGTGTTCTTAATGGCGCCCACAAGGGAGCGGCAGATTGGGGTTGCTGTCCTCCATAATTTTACCCTTTCCACTCGATCTATAAATTATTGAGGCACCGAGGTTTCAGATTAAAAAAATACCTGTCTTGCTCCTGACTCCTATGAATCATCTATATATTCATCATCTTCTTCTTCTGCTGCTGCTATGTCTTCTCTGCAAATCACATGCGGTGCTTGAGATATGAAACCTGTTGGACAGCAGACCATAGTTTTTGAAAACTTAATTATAATATCCATTCTGCTCCACTCTGAACAGACACTCTGTGTTTCTGTTCTCAATTAATGTTTACTAGCTCAAGTTATGTATGTTCTTGAATTCTGACCCATAAATTGTTCCACACAATATTAATTTGATCAATATCCACCATGTATCAGTTGGATAACTTTCTGCAATATTAGTTCGAGTAAATTGTTACCGACTTAGGTAATTAGCTCAAACTTTTGGTGAGAAATTCATTAAACGCCAGAGCCGGATCCTTGGCTACTTCGTTAGTGACCCAAAACATCGATGCCGATGCTCATTATATGAAAAAAACGAGACACTTCTTCGGTCGCATTAACGTTGTTGCAAGTTGCGTCCTCCATGTTGTACCTTTTGGTTGGAATGCTATAGTTTACGTACTTCTATCATGAGAGTAATTTTGGCGCAAAATATCCAACGTAACAAGGGACATGAATCCCCTTTTATGCCAACCATTAGGCTCAGGTAGTTTCCCCCTCTCTTCCTTTTTCTATAGGTTCATCTCCCATTAGACCAAATTGATTATTGTCTTAAGGCGACCAATCATGAGACTAATGATGCATTATGAACGTGATGATGATGGTGGTGGAGGGGATCAAAAATCTTACAAGTCGGCTATGATTGCGCCGACCGGTGTGTTCTGTTAACGAAAAACACAACACAACATGAACAAAACAACAACAACTTGACAAAACCCATGCATGAATATATATGAAGAAATGATGATATGACAATAATTAAGAATCATACGATGATATAGAGGGGGAGGTTAGGTTTATAGCAATCAGCCACCAATGAAGATTCCAATCTACTTGGGTTCGAGGAAACATTAATTCCCTCTCTGATCCATTCCACAGAGCTCAAATGAAAAAAAAAAAACAAGACTAAATCATCAGTCAAATAGAGAAATTAATTATATAAGATGCCCTACTTTTTTTGTTGTTGTTCTTTTACATATATGTGCTTGTACTTGGACATGACAAATAAAGGAAAGGTATAAAATTCGTTATTTTGCGTTTCTAACAATTCAAGTGTATTAATTATGATTTATCAGGCTTGAATATAGTATCTATGATTGGGGATTGACAAACAGCAATGCGTTAATTCTTGAATAATGTCGCGTGTGCGGAAACTAAATCATTTGAAAGCAACTAAATGCGTACAACTGTGTACCAACGACCTACATCCAAGCGAAATGTGACCATTCACTCGATTTGATTTAGTTTACAGCATTGCATGAGGGAGAGGTTTGGTATCAGAGAAACTCTAATTAATAATAATCATTGTCGAAAGTCCAATTGATATCATAACTCGAATTATTGATAAAAGTGAGATTGAAGAGAATAAATCTTATACATCATTCATTCCCCTTCATATGTGAATGTAGTCATCAATTTGTTTTATAGTAATTTATATATCAATATATCTTTAGACATTATGATTAAGTGTACCAAATAGCTAGGCTAGCTCTTTCCTGGTTACTTCTCACCTTCATCACAATCAACCTGACTCAGCAGCAGGACAAGTGTCCATAAGAAGTGTAGAAAGACAATTTGGTTAACTACAAATACTTTAATTTGGACTCCACATGGGATTAAGTGAGTCATTAATTGGCAGGATGCGGCTTAATTTGACTGAACTCCAATTGGTTCGGAATCCAATACTCAGAAGATTTGCCTGTCTCGCCTTGAAAAGTATGCAAATGCATATATGGTACTCTTTTGTTCTTCTTTTAATGCAAAATAGTCCTCATCATCATCACAAATAAAAAAATCCATAATTCAGTAATCCGGCTCTCAAAGTTTAATGTTAAAAAATTTATTAATACCATCGTAAGTATTGAATCAAATGTCGATTGATATTGTTCAATACTTTTCAATAATGACTAATTTCTCGTTATGAGTGATCATATAACGTGAAAACAAAACGAAAATCAGTGATAAGATGAGCCTTAATTCCATTAAGCATAAATGAGACATCGAAATTTTTAAATGTTTTGTAATGACTATTTCATTATCATTGATGAACACAGAAAGCAAAAAAATGATTTGTTATAAAGTTAGCTCTACTTTTCGTGGATACGAATGACAAAATTTAACCTTATAATTAAAGGATAAAATAAAACGATTAACTACCGATTCTGCTCATCTCCTGAAATTACTCCGTCCTTTAATTAGAGGACATGGCCCATGGGTTGTCAATCCTCTGCCCCATTAACAAATTTTTATGGGCCTTGCTGCAGGTCCGGCCCATCACTAACATCCTTGCTCCAGTTGTAGCACGTAGTGCGGGCTGCCCAATTTAATCAGATTATTATTATGAAAACTAAAACCTAGTATAATTTGAACGAAACAAGCCACTTGAAAGTCAACTAGCATGCTCTTCAACATCACAGAAAGAACACCATATTACCAAAAAAAAAAAAAAAAAAAAGTTTGATTACATATATGATTAATACCTCCATTTACCAACCTTCTCACCCAATTTACATCCTCAAAAATGAAAACCACCCCTCCATAATTAAACATTACAAGTCCCCAAATTGCATTGTCACAACGAGAAATTACAACATATCTCTATATATTAAACATCGAAAAATCAAGCGGGAACACCGGCGGCCAGCCTGGCTCTCAAATCCTTCCTCAGAATCTTCCCCGATGGAGCTTTGGGAATGGAGTCTGTAAAGAACACCCGACTGATTCTCTTGTAAAATATCACCTGTTTCGAGATGTACTGTCTGATCTCGTCCTCGCTGATTTTGGAACCGTTCGATCTCACCACGAATGCCACGGGGACCTCTCCGGCGCTCTCGTCTTTCATCCTGGCCAAAACAAGTAAAAGAAAATAGCCAAAACACCATCAATTAATTAACGTATGTTAGCGCTCTTTCGATCGCTGGCCATTTAGGGGGGGCGGGGGAAAAGAAACTTACGGGACAACGGCGGCGTCGGAGATATTGGGATGGGCGAGCAACATGGCTTCTATCTCCGCCGGAGCAACTTGGAACCCTTTGTACTTGATCAGTTCCTTCAGCCTGTCGACGATGAACAGCTCGCTGTCGTCGTCGATGTAGCCTATGTCGCCGGTGTGTAGCCATCCTTCCTTGTCGATCGTGTTCTCCGTCGCCTCCGGATCGTTCAGGTAGCCTTGAAATAAACCCATAATTCAGTTTTTGGATCGGAATGAAATAAAAGCCCACTTTATTTGGGCCACAAGCGGCCCAGAACCCGTGTAGTACTAATCATTCATCCTAAATCGAAAATTGTAGCATAAATGGGACCTCGTCATTTATTTAGGTTGGTGTACTATTACTAACCAACAAGGAAAACGAAATGGACACCTCAACCAAGCTCTTTCAGAACTAACTTTGAACTTCTTAGCTAACATTCATTCAATTCGAGCACAAAAAAAACGTACAAAACTAGGACAAACTTTTTTAGGTTACGCCTTGTGTGCAGCCTAACGACCTCGTATACTGTTGGTAGGGGATCTAGCGGACGTGGTCGGCCCAGGTCCATTAGAAAACAAAAAATAAACAAAGAAAAAAGCCCAAAAAGGAAAATAGGTGGACTCAACTTATTAGTACCTTTCATGATCTGGCTGCCTCGAATGCAAATCTCGCCGGACTGGTTCCGGGGAAGTGACGCGCCGGTGTCCGGATCGACGATCTTCATCTCGGCGTTCCTCACCACCGTCCCGCAGGCGCCGGACTTTATCTCAAACGGCTCCTTGGCAAATGCCAAGCACATCGACAGCACGGGCCCGGCCTCCGTCATTCCGTATCCCTACAAATCCTCCGGCCAAAACATAAAACCACAGACGTTATTTATTAATTAATTAATTCCACATTGAAACTGATTTATGTGATGTGAAGTGAAGTGCTACCTACTACCCACAACATGAACCTCATATGTCCACGTTGATAGCAAACAAAAACATCAATTCATAACTAAAAAAAATGTTATAGAAACTACTTTTATTTCATATAACGATGGATGAACCGAAACAACGAATTTCAGTACGATCATTGGATAATGACCAGTGTAAAAACTGCTCTTTTGGATATGTTCACTTTCCGCATTGACAAAATAAAGGGATGACACAATTATATCATGCTCCATTATTCTCAATTTTTCATATTATGATTTAGCTACGATATTATCATAAATTTTCAATCATGCTCCATGCTCTTCTGTTATAAATTTGGAAACGAATAATACTATAGATTACACTTATTAAGTACAATATTATCATAAAATTTCAATCCATCATTATAACAGCTGAATTTCAGATAATTTGAAAGACCAAGTATAGCACGTCATTATCTTCTTGCTTCCTACTTTTATATTACAAAAATTAAATTGGATAATACTATCATTCATCCCAATTTAACTACAATGTTATCATAAATTTTCAATCACGAGTTCGATTTCAGGCACAATTAAAAAAAAATGAAGGCAAAAATAAAATACAGAATTCGATTTCTTTTTTTACCTGACCAAGTGTGGCATTAGGCAGCTTCGCCCTGACATCATCCTCGAGCTCCTTCCCCATCGGCGCCGCGCCGGACATCACCATCCTAATCGACGACAAGTCGTACCGATCGATCTCCGGCCACTTCGCGATCGCGAGCACGATCGGCGGCACAAACGGCGCGATCGTCACCCTGTACCTCTGGACCAGCTCCACCAGAGCCCCAATCTCAAATTTCGGCATGATCAGAATCGCCGCCCCGACCCTCAGCCCGCAGAGCATGATCGAATTCAGCGAATAGATGTGAAACAACGGCAAAACGCAGAGGATCACGTCGTCCCGATGGAAATACAGATTGGGATTCTCGCCGTCGACCTGCTGCGCCACGCTCGTCACCAGCCCCCTGTGCGTCAGCATCACGCCCTTCGGCAGCCCCGTCGTCCCCGAAGAATACGGCAGCGCCACCACGTCGTCGGGATTTATCTTCACCGCGGGGAGGATCGGTTCGATTTCGCCCTCCTTCACCAGATCCGAGAATTTGAAAAACAGAGCATCGTCGATCGTGACGATTTTCACTTCCGATTTGATTTTTTCGGCGAAATTGGAGTGCGTGATCACGAGCTTGGCCTTCGAGGCGGCGATCTGCTTGGCGATTTCGACCGGGGTGTAGAAAGGATTCGCGGTGGTGACGACGGCGCCGAGGTGCGAGGCGGCGAGGAAGGCGTAGACGAATTCAGGGGAGTTCTGGAGGAGGAGCATGATGACGTCGCCCTGATGGATCCCGAGCTCGTTGTGGAGGCCCGCCGCGACGCGGCGGGCGGTGAGGTCGACATCGGCGTAGGTGTGGGTGGCTCCGGTGGCGGCGTCGATGAGGCAGGGCTTGTCGGCGAACAGGGCAATGTTCTCGAAGCAGTAGGAATGGAGAGGGAGGTGTTGGGGGATGTAGATGTCCGGGAGCTTGGAGCGGAAGATGAATTGATCGCCGTGGTGGTTGTTTTGAGGCTCCATGTCTACCACCGTCGCCTGAACGGGAGGAAATGCGGGGATTCAGGCGGCGGCGGAGGGAGGAACAGGGGAATTGGGTGGGTGTTTGGTAACGGGAGTTTTTGCCTTTGTTTTTTTCTTTTTCTTTTCCTGGTTTGGGGAAGGGGCGTTGGCGGGAGGTTAAATATACAGGGGGAATGGTTAGGTAATGGTAGAGGGGAACCGGTGGGACACGTCATTCAATATGGAAGTTTTCAGACACTTGCGATGGCGACATCTCATCGTCGTTCGTTAGAGATCAAATCGATGAAACTAATTATAGACGTATATATTTATTTAGATTATAGGAATTTTTATTTTGTAAAATCGTATTAACTAAATTTTCATCATCTAATTGAACCTCATTCCAGGTGCAATTTAGAACAAACTAAGTCGGTTTTTTTATATGTGATTTGAGGAAGACACGCATCAGTTCAATTGATAGTATGGAAAACACAGTATAAATAAAAATGTGATATGAATAATAATGTTGAATTATCTATAAGCGAAGATATATGTCTTGGTCGTCAACCATAAGTACGATATTACGAATTCACAACGGGATGATGAGTGAAAGTAAATATTCATCCGAATTAGGTGTGAGCAGGTTGGAATGAGGGTGGACAAGGAGCCGAGTTTGACTATATGAAATTCAGGTACCAAATTGTCAAAGTCGTCGTCTCCATTTTTGGGACAAAAATTTACAATAATATTAACGTCTTTCTTTGGGGAATTGTGATAATATCTTATCAAATAATAATTAAAGGAAATACAAGGGTAGACCACTTCAGACCAACGGAGGAGACACACTTGGGCCAAATGCAAGTTCAATGAGAAACATACAAATGGGGTTTTTTGTACGTCAAATGTCTTCTACTCAGTTTTTTATTTCATTTTGTGAAGTTCCTTTCTTAATTTTTTTTTTTTTTTTGCAGCTTTGTTTCAAGAAATCAACCATAAACACACATGAAGTATCGTGTTTAGAGTCTATAAAAAAAAGTATCGTGTTTAGAGTCTTCAAATGGGGTATTATTGGGGTAGTTAATTCTCTATGATTAAGCATTATTGCTTTCAAGAGATGATATATCCAATCCACCTACTAATTCCAATGACACACTCATATCCATAACCTTAATGGGACAGCTTGGTTTGACCCCAAGGGAGCTGATCACAATCATTTACCTAACACAGATTGCCTGGTCAAACCTCTAATAGTCGGTCAACTAAGACACCAATCCATTCCCTATTTCACCTACTTCTTGTCTGTGCATTTTCCACATATCCTTCCAAATGATTATATAAGATATGAATTAAATTTGTTATTATTTTGAACCCAACAAACCTTGATCAAGATATAAATTATATTTTCTTCGTGTCTTTTCTTTTTAACTTTTGACCCTATCTTTTTGGATTTTAATGTAAATTGTTAAAACAAATTGGTTTATTGGATAAGTTGATTGCATATTTTTAATCAGCTTAGAATGGGCCAACTATAAAAATAATCAGAGAAGGAAAAAGATCAAGAGAACTTGAAAATCGATTCATTCAATTGTCTACCAACCCCGTATAATAACAACCTAAAAGAAATCAATAATAGCTTCAGTTCTGGGTCTAAACTTGTGGACCTTTATTCGTGGTTTGAGTAAGCTGATAATTGGGCTTAATTGTAAGTTTGGTCACTCGAATTGCTAAAAAATTTCACGTTTGCCACTCAAATTGATTTATTCCATTTATAGTCACTCGAATTAGTTGAACAGTCCAAGTTCGGTCATTCTCCGTTAATCACGACCGTTAAGTGATGACGTGGCTAACAGAAAGACACAATCATCATATTTTAACATTAAAAAACGACGACCCGACCCGCCAGCTCAGCCTTACCCGCCCTGTCATCCATTCTTGCCCAACCCGCGAACCAACCCAATTAATTGACCCTAAACCCAAACCCGAGACCCAACCCCCCCTGAAAAGTAAATCGAAAACAGATGATTAGGGCACTTTCCCTTTCCATCTTCGTCCTCTCATCCTCCCGCGCCGCCTCTCTCCATCACACACCATCGAAAATCGCCGGCGGAGAGACACCCATCAGCGGCCACAAGCAAATCCCCATTAATCTCAACGATCTCCCAGGTTTGGAGAGTTCTGGCCTGAACAGAGACCGATGGTTTCGAGTTATCCTGAGAAATGCTAAAGGAGAGGTAGAGATGGGCCCATAGAAACGAAGCTGCTTCCGGAGGCAAAGCAGTGTACAGAAGGTGGTGAAGATCAGTCCAGTGAGCTGCTCTGAAATTGAACTCTTCGTCTCTGGCAAGCACCCAACTGGTTCTGCTCCAAGAAACAAATCCAATGAAAATAAAAATAAAAATAAAATTGGTGGCTGAAAATTGAAGATAAGGTGTTTGTGAAAATCACTCACTGACCTGGTCGATGGTGAGAGGGAGAGTGGATTGGTGGAGAAGGTCTGGAACTGGAAGCCAGGAAGCGATGATTTGGCGCGACTGAGGGGCGAGTCCAAGTCCGGCGCCGGTTGCGCTGCCGGTAGGTGGACCGGGTGATTTCTCGACCACCGTCACTTTCCATCCGACGTGGATTAGGGACTGGGCGCAGCATACTCCGGTTTAGGGTCAATTAATTGGGTTGGTTCGCGGGTTGGGCAAGAATGGCTGACAGGACGGGTAAGGCTGAGCTGGCGGGTCGGGTGGTCATTTTTTAATGTTAAAATATGTCGATTGTGTCTTTCTGTTAGCCACGTCATCACTTAACGGTCGTCATTAACGGAGTCTAACGGAGGTTAACGGAGAGTGACCGAACTTGGACTGTTCAACTAATTCGAGTGACTATAAATGGAATAAATCAATTTGAGTGGCAAACGTGAAAGTTTTTAACAATTCAAGTAACCAAACTTGCAATTAAGCCCTGATAATTGATTTAAGATTCAGAGTGGGCTTAATCTATGATATAGCCCAGGCCTTTCAAAATTTTAGGTCCAGCTATGGCAATTGAGGGGTTGATAGTCCCCTTAGATTGCCTTTACTAGTTAGTAGTTAGTTGTTGCACAAAAGCCCATTCAGGAACCCTCGAAGAAGGCTGCATCTGCATGTGACTTAGGGATGTTCTGTTCAGTAGCTTTGTGCAACTGGTTGGTCCGTACCTAATCGTACCGGTCCAAATTGATGTTTGGGTCGGAGCGCATCAAACAAAATGTAATACGGTTTGATCATGGATCCTATGTATTTTATAAATATTGATGAAAAATGTACCAAATTGACATTTGGATTGAACTATAGCAGACCGAATGCACTACTGATCTAGTCATTAATCATAAGATGTCTTTTTCTATTGAACCGCCATTCTCCTGAGTTTGACTCGTTCCAGACCGGACTGCTGCACACATGTAATGTTGAGAACTTGAATTTAATGGGAATGTCGAGATCGATATATCATCTCCTTACAATTTTTTTTTCTTCGCAAAGTCAGTTGTTGTAAAATCAGACATACAGAGAAAATAAAAAGAGCGCGGGAGTCGACCAATAGTCGAACTCCCGATGAGAGGGCCTTTTATGCCACATGATGGGCAGCCCTATTGAGACAGCGGAGAACAAAACAGCAAGAAACCCAACTACAGAGAGAAGCTCTGAGCATCTTGCAAGATAGTTCCATCTTGATCATGAGCCAAGTCACCTGTCTGAGGAAGTCTCTCCGATAACGGGAGCTCTTCTGCGTACCCCTACAAACAAACAAAAAACAAAACAAAACAAAACACACAAGCGTCCCCATTGTAGGACAACTAAGCTCCACCGCCAAATGGACTTAAACAAGCCATTAAGGCTTAGTCGGATACACCGAAACCAAAACTATGTCAAATTATTTTTTTTAAGAATAGTTAAAGAAAAGCAAAAAAAAAACAGACGAAATTGACAAACAAAATGAATAAAAGGGAGGGTAAGTATCAAAAGAAAACAAATAAAAATTACTAATAAATAATGAAGCAATTGTAAAGCGGTTAATTAAAAAGATAAAGGAAATAAAAAATGACTAAATTGCAATAATGTAAAAAAGGAAACTGAGGAGTCTGGTTGAGTTACTTACCTGGAGCAGTTACGCCATTCCAAAAGGTGTGAAATTTTAATTAATTAAAAAACACAGTTACCAATTACTTGCAGCAGATCTCACCAGAACCGTCCGTTCAGCTACTCCAGGTAACCGCCGTCTGTCTTCTCTTCCATGCGCCACCGTCCGTTAAGTTACCTCAGATGCCCCGCCGTCCGTTCAGTTGACCAATCCTTGTTTTTTGGCATCGTCGTCGATCTGAGTCCAGTGCTGCGGGCAATGGAGTCATTTGTCCTTACAATTTGAGTATTAAAGTGTTAGATAATCGAGACAACTTTAATTTCGTTATGAGTTTATTTCACATTTTTTAAAACAGAGATGGACGTTGATACATTGTTGTCATTGATTCGTACGTACTTTGTCGAAACATATTAAAAAAGAGGCATATATTGAAATTCAGCTCGGTCTACATAATGCCTTTCATCTTACTAAAATTCATTTATTTGCCTAGCTCAAATCTCATTTCATAGGAAAGACACGAAGTCTCCCTTTAAACACAATCAACTAATGCTGGATACATAAATGTACAACTGCAGTAATGCACACCCCCATTCTTCCCCTTTAGGCTTGGAGCATGGAATCAAAAGTCAAAAATTGCAAATCAATATAATGGTGCGTTCTATCTAAGTAAAGCCACCAATTAAGCAGCAAAAACCAACATGTTATGTACTTCCCCACCCACAACTCCTCCATTTTAGGCTCAATTCCTCTAAACCATCTCTCTTCTCAGTTCTCATCATCATTCTTCTTCCCCCCATCCATAGCACACAATAATACAAAAAAAATGAAGCTCGTGACAAAGGCGCCGTACTCCCGCCATAGCCACCACCACCGTTTCATCCTCTCCTCCATCGCCTTCATCCTCTTCTTCTGTCTCTTGGCCTCCATCAACGAGGTCCAGTTCGACCACCTCCTCAACCTCGGCCATTGCAACGGCTCCGTCATCTCCACTACCACCACCAACGCCGCCGCCTTCAACTCCTCCTCTTCCTCGTCGAACGCTACTCATACTGTCGCCGGAGACGACGACGACGAGATCCGGATCCTGATCGGCATCCTGACGTTGCCCGACCAGTACCCTCGCCGCCACTTCCTCCGCATGGTCTACGGCACCCAACCGACCCCAAAGGGCGCCAAGATCGACGTGAAGTTCGTCTTCTGCAACCTCACCAAGGAAGATCAGACCATCCTCGTCGCCCTCGAGATCATGCGCTTCGACGACATCATCATCCTCAACTGCAAGGAGAACATGAACAACGGCAAGACCTTCACCTACTTCTCCACCCTCCCCGACATCTTCTCCCGCGAAGAAGACGACCACCGCAACAATTCTTCTCCACTAGGTGTGTACTTTTTCAAAAATATACACTATTTCTTCAATGACAAATAAACTAACTTTTATGTAGTGATATGACAATTTGGATCTTACTCGTTTTATCCTATCTGTATGATATATTTTGAGCGGGTATTATCTGCCTCGTAGACGGAGTATGGGCCAGGACAGGCACGGGGTACTCTCCCTGTGACCTGATCCATCATGTTCTTGACACACTTTGTTTGAACTACTAAGTAATTTTATTCAAATTACTTGGAGTTATGCTTTTATTTTCTCATGTGATTACTACGATAATATGAGTCATCCAATTCCGATTCTCTCTTTATGATAAATAATTATCATACCTGAACCCCTTACCTGTTACGGACGAGTATATAATTATCGAGATATTTGTCCCAGCCTGTTACATTGCCATTCCTAATTTTGTAGATATTTTCTATTTATTTTTTTTTACCAAAACTTATCTTTGTGTCCCGTGACAGAGGCGAAACCATGGCCGCCGTACCACTACGTGATGAAGGGAGACGACGACTCATACTTCCGACTGGGGAACCTGGTGTCGTCGCTGCAGCCGCTGCCGCGCGACGACCTGTACTACGGGTACGTGATCCCGTGCCCGAGCATGGACCCGTTCGTGGAGTACATGTCGGGCATGGGGTACCTGGTGTCGTGGGACATAGTGGAGTGGATTAAGGAATCGGAGATTCCGAGGAACCACCTCGACGGGCCCGAGGATAAGGTGTTTGGTGCGTGGCTCAAGGAAGGGCGGCGTGGGAAGAACAGGCACAATGCCAAGTGGTCGATGTACAACTTCCCGGTGCCGCCGTCGGGCTGCACGCACGAGTTCTGGCCGGACACGATTGCGGTTCACTTGCTAAAGAACCAGCCCAAGTGGATCGAGACCTTGAAGTATTTCAATGCTACCAAGGATCTCAAGCCTTCCAAGTTGTATCATATTCCATGAATTATATTGATTTTTGTTCAACAAATTTTTGTATCATATTTCAATTGAAAGTCTAGCCACTCGTTCAAAGAGATTTCTCTGTTGTCATTTTTTTAAATATATATAGAGATAAAACAAGTGTGTTGATTATGTTATTAATGATAATATGATATCCGTTAACCTAAATGAAAGGGTAGTCACTGAGTTTGAAATAATTTACAAAACATGATGCGCTTAGATCACACATATATATGTGTACATTGAGATTAAACAGCAACATTAAGATCACAACGCTACAACCACAATATTATATAATATCATGTTCATCTCGATAACCATAAAATCTCGATTACGATAATTTGTAATTATTATTTTTATATTGTATAGAGATTGGACAAGTAAAGTTTCAACAACTTTTGTATCCTCTATCTTTAGGATTATATATAATTTGTTTGCAGAATACATAAAGTTGTTGAATTTTGAATGCCATTTAATTGTGTACTATTAGGCCGCTTTGCACCAATTGCACTAAACCGGTCACTTTCTTTATGATGGTAATGTAACTACGGAGCTTCACTTTTCTTCCAAAAGCGGCCACCGGAGTGAAGTCTTTCACGTGGTGGCGAAGATCCAAAAGTCACAGAGATCTAAAGTGGGTGGCTGCGTACCCACGCCACCACCGAGCCGCCGTATACTTCGCCAAATCCAGAAGTTTGCTGTCTGTTCCTTTATGGAAATTGACCAAACACAGTCAGAAGGCAAGAGGGACATGGCTGGGCTTCTATATTTACACGTTGGGCTTGAATATAATGTGGATCTACCTATTGACATTGGCCTTTCAGAGGTGGGCTCAGGAGCTGTGGGCTGTAAAGTGTAAACCCATTTTGGAGATGGAAATATGCCGTCAAAATTACCATTCTACGTAGAGTAGAATCGTATATGTGATCTAAAAATGTAAGAACATAAGCTTTTAAATTTTAGTATAGATTTTGGCTATAATTGTTAGTAAGAAAGGCGATTGTACTTAGAAGTGTTTTGATAGTCTATAAGTGTAAAAGCATAAACTTTCAATAGTATAATTAATTAATTATATTTAAAATAATGTGAGATATATTTACTAAAGACAATATATTGGAAAAATATCGAATAAAATCTGTTTATTCTAATTTTGCGCATTAAAAAAATTATACATATCTATATCGTACTGAACCGAAATATTACTATGCGATTTGTATGGTCCATCCACGTCCCACGATACCATATCACAACCTGTGCTTTTAGAAAATGTTATTCAGTAACAAAAGTTAAGCAAAAACCAAAAAGTAATCTTCAAGAGGAAAGAAAGACAAACGATTCATCCAGAAGTGAAATAAATAGGTTTAATACACTTGTATATCCAAAACTTTCACGGTTGTGCTAATAATATCCAAATTTCTCGGAATATCACTTATATCCATGTTTTAAAGTTGTTCTTTGCCAAATCTATCCATTTTCCAATATATTTTTGGTTAAATACGCTTCTATATCCAAAAACACCGTTAAAGAATGTGAAGGAATTGGATATAACTGGTATTTTGGGAAATTTGGATATTATTGGCACAACCGTGAAATTTTGGATATACAAGTGTATATAACCAAATAAATAAGAGAGAAACAAGTTGTGGAACTGGAAACATTTAAAAAAAAAAGCTCCCTTCAAAATGACGTGAAAGCGACGCCGTTTTACTCCTGAAAAACGCCTGCAAACCGACCGCGATCGTGGCTTCGGATTTCTCATCCCCGCACAGATCTATCTAATCTATCTCCGCTGCTGCAGAAGGAATTTTTTTGCATCAATTTGCCGGCGAAGTTCTCAGAAGGGAGAAAGAAAGCGGTGAATCGAGCAACAATGTCGCACAGCGACACCATCCCTCTCCACTCTTCCTCGCAGTCGGACATCGACGAGATCGAGAATCTAATCAACGCCAGCGTCCAGTCCGGACCGGCAACAGTTCAACCCGCCCGCCCACCGAGTCCGCCGCGGATCCCCGTCTCCTCCTCTCCGTTTCTTCAATCCAACCTCCCTCCCCCACCGACTACAGCGGCAGCGAAGCTTCCCCCGCTCCCGTCGTCCTCCGCGCCGCCTTCTGTGCTTCCCGCCACTGTCCCCGCGCCCGCGGCCCAGCTACCTCACGGGAGCTCGGCCGGATCGAACAATTACGCGGCATCTGGATTCGGCCCGGCTCCGAACACGTTGACGGAGCCCGTATGGGACACGGTGAAGAGAGATCTGTCGAGGATCGTGAGCAATTTGAAGCTGGTGGTGTTTCCGAATCCGTTTAGGGAGGATCCGGGGAAGGCGTTGAGGGATTGGGATCTTTGGGGCCCGTTCTTCTTCATCGTGTTCTTGGGGCTCGTCCTCTCTTGGTCCGCCTCTGTGAAGAAGGTCAGCTTTAACTTCCAATTCGTTGTTTTGACTTCGATTTTGAGATTTTGCTTTGTGAGAAGTTCTTTATCTGCTAGGATTTGAACGAATGAGTTGTGGCCATAGGCTTAGGTATCCTAGTATGAGAAATGGTAGAAATTTCTGATTGCTGTGAGATAGTGTTTCTTCCTATGTAGTGATCAAATGTATTGCTCTCGTAGCTCCGCTTCTAAAAGCATCATTTGGGGGGTATATTCTGCTTGTATCTAGTTGCTTTGATGGGTTTAGTTTGCATTTAGCCTTTAACAAGCATCTACTACAATGGTAGTTACTATGGTGAACTTCTGGAATTGAAATGGAAGTAGGAAGTAGTGAGTTCAAATTGTAGTTAGATCATTTCCTTCTATAGTTCTATTTCTCTGGTTGATTTTGTTCTTGTTGGTAATTGGGGTTTACGGCAGGCACATAAGTGGATTTGTGGTTAAGTGGTTTCTTGCTAGCTTCCAAGATGATATGTTGGCTTGGCTATTACAATGTGATGGGCAAAGTTAACTTCTTTAAATAGGCCATGGTAGAAAAGAAATGTACTTGAATCTATCCCACCGGAAGTTTTGCACTTATGATCTGAATAGTCTGGTTGCAGTAACATAAAGGTGCCTTAGTTTCCCACTAGAAAACCTGGGTAAACGTCTATACTCTTCCATGTGATGGTTTCCTGGTGACCCGGTATTGAATGATTGTACTAAATCATATAAATTTGCAATTCCTCAGGATGCGTACCAGCTTTAATTGCATTTGTTTTTGTGCAAGGATTGTGGTGTTTGTTATGACAGCCCTAACAAATTCCGTTTTGTTTACAGTCTGAGGTTTTTGCTGTTGCATTTGCTCTACTTGCAGCTGGTGCTGTTATTTTAACTTTGAATGTTCTGCTACTGGTAAGCTCCTGATTCCCTCTTTCTATCCTCTTCGAAATTCCATTGCTTTAATTGCATGGCATATGCCCTTTTGAATCTATACCGGCCTACAAATTCGAGTTATCAGCTCTATTTACACCAATGCTTTGAATCTTGGATGTTGAGAAGGGTCTTGAAATCTTTCTATTATCTGCAGGGTGGGCACATAATCTTCTTCCAGAGTCTTAGCCTTCTAGGTTACTGTCTCTTTCCTTTGGATGTGGGTGCCCTAATTTGCATGTTGAAGGACAACGTAATCCTGAAGATAGTAGTGGTGTGCGTCACTTTAGCTTGGAGTTCATGGGCAGCCTACCCCTTCATGAGCTCAGCAGTGAACCCGAGGCGAAAGGCCCTCGCACTCTATCCCGTCTTTCTCATGTACGTATCTGTCGGGTTTCTCATCATCGCCATTGATTAAATGCATTGGCAGCTCCCCTGCTACGGGACTCGACGTGAATTGAAATTCAAAACCCCCACAGTATATAGGTTTCCTATTAGGATCGTCATTGGTGCTTTGGTCGACTGAGAATTACTGCATCTCTGTTTTGGCTACTCTTTGCTGCCGACGTTATGAAACTTTGATGTGGCCATTTTGTACTTAAAACTTGTTACATCATCTTCTTGGGAGCGTTCGATTTTGAGAGTGAAGCTGGAGTCTAGAGCGTTATGGTCAGATCTCGTTGTAGTTTGTTTCCCTTTTCGTATGCTAGTGCTGATAAAGGACATTTCCAAACTGTTTTACTGTAAACCATCATGTGATCCATATTCGGTTGATTTTGAGGTTAGACCTGACTTCTGAGGGAGATCTTGGTTTGAAAGTGTATAAGTTTGGAGTCTGGGATTCAATTGCTTTCACTTGCTTTTCTTGTGCTGTTGACCTGTTGTCCAGAGGGATTGGTGGGCTTATAAAGACTGTGGGATAATGGGATTGCATTGGCCCAATACATTGGGAAATTGGGGGTGTTTGGGTTGGTGGTTGAGAGTGGCCAAGTGTTTCAGGCTTTCAGCTGGATGGGAAAGCCTAAGCATTTGACCTAATTTGGTGAGCATTCTAAGTACTTGAAGAATAATGACAACAGTGACATGCGATGTAGTTGAACCATAGTTAAAAGGTGAGCGTAGAACCGTAAGTTTATACTGTAAAATTGTGTGTAACCTCCCGGTTACAACCAGTCTCTTGTTTACATAAACTCGAGGCTTCAGATAACCATCATTTTCCGCGTTTCGAAAGTCTCTACTTAAAACATACTAATTTAACAAACTCTTAAACTAGAGTGAATTCTAGCTCATTACGAGAAAAAGTTAGTAGACATCATACGAGCTGAATAAATCACAACTGGTTAAAAAGTCGACTCCTTGCCACATTAGATGTAGAGAATCAATGAATCATAGTAGTTTAGTACAATAAGACAGTCTACACTAGACAACAGACTAGAGAAAGGGGTCTGAGGTTTGCTTTGGATACACTCAAAAGCCTCAGATAATGCAGGTTGCAGCTAATAATGCCAAAACCACATTGCTTGTCAGTGTGGCCAAAGCCCAACCCCAAAAAACCTCAATCAACCCATTGGCTGGCTCTGGCGCCATCTGAATCCAAAAAATTGGCCTCTGCATGCCACTGCGGGTTGAGAAACGTGCACAAAATATTTCTAGGGCACTGGTCCTCCAAGAACAGAAGAAAGGGTTCACAGTAACGACATCCAAAGAGGATTCCTTTCATCTTTCGTTAATGGCCCCAAGAACAATATTTCTTGTACAGAACAATGGCGATAGAGATAACTCATCTTGAGCCCAGCCACTGCCACAGTAGGATTATTATCTTCTTTCTCTCTCTCTCACACACATTACTATGTTTTACTCTCTCACCCATTTTGCGTCCCCGTTAATTCTCGACATCGTACCAAAACTAACATATAGCGAGATATTTCATGTTCGAGTCGGACCACCATTGTTATATGTACTATGTTTTCCTATATACTACTTTTCTATATGGTTGTGATTTATCTACTAGTCTTGGTCTAAATCCTAGTAGACCAATATAGCATTGCAATATCGTGTTCATAGCTTGATTTTTATTTTTTTTGGTTAATCATTCATATGGTTGAAATTCGAGTCGAAAAAAAAGTACATGGACGAGAACAGACTCGGGCACAACCAAGTAGATTTGGGTCATTTAGAAAATAAGGGTCCGTACTGTTCAATAACTGTTCGATGAATCTTATTACTCAACTCGCTAAAGTTTATATAGAATTTAATTGATGAAAGAACTTATGTAATGACTCCAAAATCAACAGGGAAAACCGCTAACTCCTGCAGTACAACTCATTCACATGATTGATTGAGTGTGTGTGAGGAAGGTACCTAATCATTACTTTTGTGAATTATTATGCTTCACTATTTGGGGTTGGGGGAGTACCATAGAGGATTTGGAATCCACATATTTACATATAGAAAGAAGAGGCAGGCAGCTTGGCCGATTGGTAGCCAGAGAAGTGAGTAAGTTCAAAAATGGGATAGCTAGCACAGGCAGAGTCCAGGGGTCCATTGACAGTTGGTAGAGGAGCAAATCCTTCTGGAATTAGGAAATCAGCCACATCATAGGGTTTCATTTCATAGCCTCCCACTGGCTTCTTTTGCCTCGCTGGCTACCACACATACACATACGGGCAACAAAAAAACCCACCCCTCCTCATACCCTAGATCGAGTCGAGACCTCAATTTCAATCTGAAACGTACCGTTTTGTTTTTATCATGACTCAATTCAGTTCCAGGACACTGTTGGATTCTCGTATAACATGAGTAATAACAATGGATACGTGTCTTGCTTCATTTATATCTCATTCTCATCAATCCATTTTAAGTCAATCGTAATTTTTACTGCAATCTCTGCTATTTTAAGTTCAGGTTCATTCCAATCTCAATTTCCTTGTTCATGTTGTCAATGTCTTCATCTATTATCTTTATTTGTACAATAGTTTAATTATTTTTCCTGCAACAAATTACTTAGCCGAGGGTGGTGATCATTCTCTTGATTTTGGTTCTCCAGTACTTGATAAACTGAGATGGTTCTATGATATCTAAACCTCCCGTTATTATGAATAATGACTAGGGTGCAGACTTTCGCACCCGCAAAAGAAGAAAAAAAATGCATCCATATGGATCGAACTGTCCCGAGGAAGCTCTACACCCGAGCTACCCTTCTCACATACTTCTGAATTGCTGTTGGGCAGTCTTCCCGAGTCTTTCTTCTTCTGCCTCAGCTGTCCATCATGGATACAGGAAATCATAGATTAGGTTATCAACTAAGCTCTTAATACAACTACTGTTTCTTTTTGACCTCATTTATTGTCGTCAACTCTTCTTCTTGTTCTCTCATTTCATTTCACAGTCTTTCCCTTCACTCTTCTTGTCAGCTCTCTCTATCAGCCTGCTAGCTAGCTAGCTGCACAGGGCAGAGCCAAGTAGCAAAGGCAGAGCAATCCAACCAAACCCACCACCCAGCAGAAGAAGGAGAAGAAGAAAAAAAAAAAAGCGAATCTTTCTCTTCCCCTCCCGTCCCCCACACTTGCTGGTGAACAAACAAAACCCCAAAAACCTCATCTGCCTTACAGCTGCAAAAGAGATGCAATAATAATAATGCAGCATTAGAAACAAAACTAGATGCTCGCAAATCTTTTCGAAACAGAACAGAACAGGGGAGAGGGAGAGGGAGAGGGAGGGAGTAGTAGGCCTGCAGAATGCAGATACAGGTGAGGTGGTGGACAAAACGTCCCACCCAAACGACCAAACAAACCACTCTATTGTCCACACCACACTGTTCTTTCTCTCATACTAGGTGTAAGATCTCGATAGACGCAAGGCTAATGTGTGTATGGTGACACATTTATCACATACTTAAAGTGTAAATGGTACAATTTGGCGTTGTGGCTAAAGATGGCCGGTCGAGTTCGTCGAGATAACACACTCATTTGAGATTAGATTCAGGGAGTTTCGAGTAATGTTGAATTTTTATCCGGTGTTTTTTCTTCCCGTTGTAGTGATGTGAAAATTTTGGGTAGAAACTGAAAATTTTGGGAGGATTATGGCATATGGATTTGCCGTCTCAAAGCTCTCTAATGAGTGAAAATAATTAGATAACAACACAATTTATATATGTGAAAAGAATATTATTAATCGGGTAAATACTTGTGAAGTGATCATGTAGTGTAGTTTATGGAATTTGTAAGACATATAATATAAGAGACAAAGAGAGTTAAATATGATGAGATATAGGTGAAATAGTTAGGATCATATAATTCATGAAAATATCTATCTGTCTGTCTATCTATCTACACACTAATATATAAATAAAGAAATTAAGCATGATGTGTGAGTTAAAACAAAAATTGGAGCTCCCACCTTAACTCACGGAAGGCTAAAGTTGTCTTTCCATCTTATTATATTTTTTATTTATTTTTCAATCGCTACTTTTAGTTTAATTGTTGAGAGAGGTTGGATTTTTATATTTGTTTCTCGAATTTTATTTTTACGAACTTATTGAGCATTTTATTTTTACATACTTATTATTATGGTAATAAGAAATTGATATAACAATTAAATCTAAGTAGTAGGGGTGTTCAAACGGTGTGGTTAACGTGGTAACCATTTTAACCAGTAGTATTTGGCTAATTTGATTTGGTTAAAAAATTTAGCTTGTTTGGTTTAAGTGGTTTGGTTCAGGCACTCCTAACCAATCAAACCAAATTAACCAGTTAAGTAATTTGTCATATATCTAATATATATTATATACACATACTTAATACTTTGCATAACCACTCAAGAGTCAAATGTAAGATAATTGTATTTGTTACCTGTATTTACGTTAAGGGTTAACTACAATTATGTAGATTGTTATGTGTTGTTCATTATATAAATTGCAAATTGATGCACAAACTTAAAAATTTTCTCCCTTAATGATAATGTGATTTGGTTATGATATTGTATTCCATGGTTAATAGATTTTAGACTTATTTGGTTTGGTTATTACCATGGTAACCATTTGAACACCCCTACTAAGTAGGCCTTATATGTGGATTGTCAAGTACATTTATGTGGTAGGTCAAGAAAAATTTTGTTTCTAGCATTTTATTTTTACATACTACTATTACTATCACCATCTAAAAGAATTTGCTACAGTGAATCGATAAACTCTAAGTAAAACTTGCATATAATCCGTCAAGTAGATTTTGTAGTTGATCAACAAAATCCGTAAAGGTGACACCTAGCTTAAACAGGTCAACCTACACACCATATTGGTGGACATAAACAACTACAATGTCTACCATTTGATACCCCACGAGTATTTCATATCTCATATAAAATTCGGATTTTATCTGTATATGCATGTTCTCCTGAAATATTCAGTCTAATGAGAAACATGATCGACCGTTATAAGTCACACAAAGTATATAACATACTATAAATATTTTAATCAGCCTTATCCATCAACAGGTCGGTCAAAGTTTTTTGCTAGACTCCAAATAAACTTGATTAAGAGTTTGGCCAAATCATCATAGACACGCCCCGATTAAAATTATAAACTTGTTTTTGTTAATTCTCGCAAGAAGCAATTTTTTCCCCAATCACACTCAAATTAACTTTAAAAGGTTTTAGTGATTCATTAGATGAATGTTTATTTGTGCATGTAACATGTAGCAAGAACTAAAATAGTAAGAAAACATGTGTTTAGGAAGATGTTTTTTTTAATTTGAGCAAAAATGGTGTTTCTCATTTGTAAATATTTTACCATTAAGTTCTTGATTGCAATGAAATATAGGAGAAGGAATAGTCTTCTAATAATGTAGGTAGTGCATTATATAATGGAGGTAGTGGTGTTGTTGAGAATAACGTAGAGACGGTTCATTGTCGAGGGAGAAGTAGTGAAAAGAGCAAATCTCATATTTGCTTTCAATGAAATGTAGAAGAAGAAGGAAGACATCGTTTCAATGCAAGATAAATAAAGATGTTATTGAAAGAAGAAATAGGGGGAGATAAAGACGTTATTGGTGAGGATGATAATGATAATAATGCAATCGCGAAGTCCCAAACAAACTATGTAGGGTTGTTGGGATGGATCAATCTAGAAATGAGTCAATTTGATCAATTGTCTCGTTTTATAAATGAGGCAATTAAAACGAGTCAATTCGAATTACCTGCCCCACCCCAGATAATTGAAATTGACTCAAAACGGATCAATTCAAAATACCTAAGGCAGATTGATCCATCCAAAAATTTTGCTGGCAAACGAGGCAATTTGGTACAATTGTTTCAAAACGAGACAATTGTTTCAAATTGATCCGTTACAATTCCTCATCCAAATGACCCCGTAGTAATTTCTAATCGGAGTGTGATTTGGACAAATTTTTTAAAAGTTGATTCTCTTGCATTTTTTTTTACTTTTGGTAATGACTTTAGTTGATGAATCGGTTAGGATGTCTGAAAAATTTATGATCCATGTGTTAGTGTTGTGGTATATGATCCACGATCGAACCTCTCCAAACAACTCGAGTTATTGGGATCAACTGGTTCTTGACATGGTATCAGAGCCTTCTGTGACCGAGAGGTCTTGTGTTCAATTCCCAGTGACCCCCATTTGTTAAGCACATGATATTCTTGTCTTCAGACATGTGCAAACTTCAAGCCCTTGTGAGTGGCTTTCGTTTGAGGGGGCATGTTAGTGTTGTGCTATATGATCCACGATTGACACCATGTTCATTTTATTTTCCCAATATTTAAAAATTACCTTTCCATAATAAAAAATGAAAATTTATTTTCCTTCACATAATTACTATTGTTGTTTATATCATGATAAAAAGTATCCGGACAACCGGTCGGGTCCAAATCTTAGTGTGAAACATGGATAAGTCAATCAAACTTACAAATCTTTCACATTTTTCTAGTATTATAGAAAAAAGAAAATCATTAAAATCATAATTATAAAAAACCAGAAGTAATCACTTTATCGAATCAAAATAAAATATTGAGATTGATAGTATATTAATACATCTAATTGAACACAACAAACCAATTATTTGATCAAAACACCAGATAAAATATTAAATGAATGGAGGTATATATATGTTCTTACATAAATCCTAGTTGGCTCTCCAATCCCCACCCTCTTTTGTGCATTTCTCTTTCCCTCCCTTTTCCCTTCTTCTTCTTCTTCTTCCTCCCTTTCCCTTACCAAACAAAAAAAATTCCCATGCCTCTATAAATTCAGCTCCCAATTCTCTCTCACAAGAACAAACACTCCCCCTCTCAACAAAAAACTCCATTTTCAAACAAAAAAAAAAAAATGAAAGAGTACTGGACCTCGCTCGCTTCCTTGCTCGGCGTCCTCGCCTTCTGCCAGAGTATCGTCAACTCCATCTTCCCGCCAGAGCTCCGATTCGCCATCCTCAAGCTCACCGGCCGCCTCTTCAACCTCTTCTCCTCCTACGTCTACTTCGACATCACTGAGATCGACGGCGTCAATACCAACGAGCTCTACAACGCCGTCCAGCTCTACCTCTCCTCCTCCGTCTCCATCTCCGGCACCCGCCTCTCCCTCACCCGCGCCGTCAACTCCTCCGCCGTCACCTTCGGCCTCGCCAACAACGACTCCATCGCCGACTCCTTCAACGGCGCCGCCGTCCTCTGGGAGCACGTAGTGACCCAGCGCCACTCCCAGTCCTTCTCCTGGCGCCCCTTGCCCGACGAGAAGCGCGGATTCACCCTCCGAATCAGTAAGAACGACAAATCCCTAGTCCTCGACTCGTACCTCGATTACATTATGGAGCGGGCGGCGGAGATTCGCCGCAAGAATCAGGATCGGCTGCTGTACACGAATTCCCGCGGCGGATCTCTGGACGCGAGGGGGCATCCGTGGGAGTCGGTCCCGTTCAAGCATCCCAGCACATTCGAGACTCTGGCCATGGATCCGGCGAAGAAGCTCGAAATCATGCGAGATCTGAGGGATTTCGCCGAAGGGCAGGAGTTTTACCAGCGGACGGGGAGAGCCTGGAAGCGTGGGTACCTCCTGTACGGTCCCCCGGGCACGGGGAAGTCGAGCATGATCGCCGCCATGGCCAATTTTCTAGGTTACGACATTTACGACCTCGAATTGACGGAGGTCCACAACAATTCCGAGCTTAGGAAGCTGCTGATGAAGACGAGCTCCAAGTCGATTATCGTGATTGAGGACATCGACTGCTCGATTAACCTCGGGAATCGGAAGAAGAGATGCTCGAGCGCCGGAAACAGAGGAGGCTCTTCGAGCTTCTACGAGGCGGCGACGGAGATGAGAGGGGGAGGAGCCGGCTCCGACGAGGGTGGAAATTCGATTACGCTCTCCGGATTGCTGAATTTCACCGACGGATTGTGGTCGTGCTGCGGCAGCGAGAGGATCTTCGTGTTCACGACGAATCACGTGGAGAAGCTGGATCCGGCTCTGTTGCGGAGCGGGAGGATGGATATGCACATTTTCATGAGCTACTGTTCGTTCCCGGCATTGAAGATTCTCCTGAAGAATTATCTCGGAGTCGAGGAAGCAGACGGAAACAACGCCGCCGTTGGCGGCGTTTGGAAGGAGATCGAAGCGGTGATTGATAAGGCGGAGATGACCCCTGCGGATGTGAGCGAGTTGTTGATAAAGAATCGGCGGGCTAAGGACAAGGCAGTAGCGGAGTTGCTGGAGATTCTGAAGGAGAGAGCGGCGGCTCGCTGCGGTTATGAGGCGGTGGAGGAGGAGCAGGAGAAGAGGGCGGTGGAGGAGAGCAAGGAAGGAGGAGGAGGAGCAGAAGAAGAAGGGAGTGAGTTCAGTAGTGAGAAGAGTGAAGAAGAAGAAGATGACGAGAAGATCAAATGAGGCCAACAGTGAAATTTTGGGGGCTTTTTTCAATTTGTCCTCGTTTGTCAGGGAAAAAATGATTCAGGGACCGAATTGAGAAGTGAGGAAAGAGTCATGATTCATGCCACAGAGACAGAGGTAAGTAAAAGAGAGGAGAGGGGAAGGGAACATTTTTAATTGAATGGTTTTGGGGTTCCCAAAAAATTAATTAATGGAATTGTATAATCTAAAGTATGTTTCTAAACTAATTAATGTGTCATGGACAAAGAAGGATAAGCTCACTAATTATTGGCTAATACCCATGTGGGATTTTTCTTTTTAAGTTTTTGCATCTTAAGATCATAGCGAATGTTAACTCAGCATTTTTGAACAACTAAGCCATATAGGTTTAATCTTTCTATTGGTCTCGAAACTTCACATCTCCCGTCATCATTTTCTACAATGCATTTGTCATTTAGGACACAAACAATGTCAAATTTGATTAACAGTTGTCGAATTGAGTGACTAAACAAATTTCCCAAATGTATGACTTGTGATGCGAGTTACAAAGACCATAGTTATGGGATCTTGCTGGATGTTTATACTAATGGATTAAGTTCAAATCGAGACATTTAACATAAAGTACAAAAATAGAGAAGCGTCATACTTTGTTAAAGCTGTTGAAAAAAACTTATACTTTGTTAAAACACGTAGTAGAGGGACCTGATTGATAAAGTAAAACTAGTACATGGACTAACAATGCTATTAACTCAAGTTCTATCCGGTTCTGAAATTAGAGTTGGATATGACATGGAGAAGGTGGTGCCTTTCTCTCTTCCTTTTGCCTTTTTGTGGAGACTCGAGAAGAAAATAATATGGAGAGCACTAAGGAAGTAGCAGGAGAATTCTGACCGCTTGCTTTGCTTGCATGGGATTTTGCACATGGAAACTTGGCTGGCTGCCTCACCATCCACATTGCTAACCCCCCTCTAATGTAATCAACATGGACAATTTGCCCTTCTTTTCTCCTTTTTTTTTTTTTTGGTATTTTCATTTTCATTCTCCTTCTCTCACTTAGATTTTTTTTTCTTTGGACAACTCTAGCCACTAGAATGGATCATAAGTTTGTTTGAAGAGATGTACAAAATGAATAATAGAAGATCTATTATTGAACTACATCAGATGAACGTAAACTTTTTTGATGTCAAGATCGAGTTCCCGCCGCCCTGAATGGTTGTTGCTACCCCGGGTCCGAACTAGTTTTGTTCATTTTGTTATCTTCCATTATCAGAATAATTGGGGGAATATTCAATGAACACGAAACTCCATGATCAATAATTTTCGATGACATATCCGGAGCCAATTCATATGTCGATAGAGTTACACTTAGTCAACCTCAATGTTTCATATATGTTTAGAGACATCATCATTTATCTTTCAATCCTGCTTAAGCGCCACCATGCTTTTCTTTATTTGTCTCACCACTAGCTTGGAGGAGTAGATCTGACTTAGTTACAAAATTATCTCAACTCATAAACCCTAAGTAATTTATTGGACTCTAGTGATACGGGTAGTCTCTATTCGTCACCTCGGTCTCTATTCCTCTTCATTTGTTTATCCTTATCTTTGTACGGAGCTAGTAAGACGTAGTGTTAGTGTGTGGCATAAGATTTATTATGGAATCTCTCTTAATAATTCGAGTTATTGGGATCAACTGGTTTTTGACATGGTATCAGAGCCTTCTGTGACCGAGAGGTCTTGTGTTCGAATCCCGATAACCCCCATTTATGAAGAACATGGTATTTTTGTGTTCAGACCTGTACAAATTTCAAGCCCTTGTGAGTTGTGTGGAACCTCTTACAACAACTCGAGTTATTGGAACCAACTGGTTCTTGACACGTAGGAGATTAAGGACTAATGAACTTGGACAAGAGTGAGACAATGGTCGTAATATACCATAATATTATTAATAATAGTTAACTTTTCTTTTAACGACACAATGACGCGTAATATTTACTTTATGGGGTTACTAAGCATGGAATTAATTAATTACTAATGATGATGGATTGTGATAGTTACCATGATTTTTGTTATTGGTATTTGGTAGTGTGATTAAGTGGATAAATAAGTGGACGCGACAATCCGACGGTGAACCAGGTGAATGATTATGATACCATCATACCAATGTTGAAATAATAAGTCCTTTAAATTCCAAAAAAGTTAAAGAATTAATAAATATTGATCAAACCCAACTAGACATTTTGCATCATGTCATGGGTCATGACCTCCTTCATTAATCTAATGTCATTAACAAGTGTTTTACTACCTTATGCTAAGAGAATTAAAGTGAGCAGTGAGGCAGTGCAGTGAGGTAGTGACGGAGTCAGAAATCTAAATGATGGGAGCTGATTTGAATAGTGGTGATTGGGGGAAGGGAGCTAAAACCTTTCCTACTATTCTATTTACTAAATTTGTTAAAATTTTTACATGTAATTTTATCGACATTTCACAGTTGTGAGAGGGCTACAAGCCTACAACCCCTCCTACCTTCAACATAACTCCTCCACTACAAGTGAGATCTTTGAACGGGTGTGGCAATACGGGGAGGGGAAAAGATCATGGAAATTGCGTGTTACTGATATTGAAATTTAGATCTCTAAATTCAAAGTCTGGCATCATAATCACTCGACTGACAATACGTGCTAACCAAATTAAGATATGTGAGGTAGACTCCGACGATCCTTTGATTTTAGAAGAGTGACCTATAGACGCAAATATTCAATGCTACTTGATCTCATAAGTAGCTGACAAATCCATGAATTAAGCTGTTGATTCATACTTCCGCTATATGGATGTGTAGGAAATTCTAGGAGGAAAATGACTTGTCATGCCATTGCTCACCTACCACTACTCTTACAATCTTTGTTTCGTAACCCTTTATTGAAGCTGAAAAAGTAATTAGATACTCATATGAGTTTTCATATAAACAAAAGAAAGTAAGGACTCATATGCAACTTTCATTTGCCTTCAGAGTTCAGACTTCAGAGAAAGGTACACACAATTTTTTAAAATGCAACATAAAAAAAGTGTCACTTGTCAAAATATAGTAGGCCAAGGGATCTCTAAGGAGCTAGGATTGACACCCAAGTGCTCTTTCCAACTCATTTGTCTGATAAATCAAACAAAGAACAAAGAAACAAAAAACCATCACCAATGTCGTACTTTTCCTTCGTTGCAACAAGAGACTTTCTCCCTCTAAAATTGGCTTTTCATTTCACCAAGCTTTTCCTGCTAGAAAATACCTCCTTCTCTCACCATAAAAAATTCCTCCTTTTTCCCTGGTCAATTACATAAACGATCACCAACATCTGGGGTGAGTAATAAATTTATCCCATTTTGTATCACAGTTGAACCTATAATATTGAAATCTAGAATCACTAACATGACAATCACTTTATCGATTATTTTATGGGAATTGCCCATGCCATTATTTTCTTAACATCACTAAAATATATAACAGGAAAATCAATATAACCCCTTTGAAGCTACCTAGCAGTGAGGTAAAAGTTAGTTAGATGGAGTCTATAAAGAAGGGGTGAGAAATGTTCAAGTAAATAACAAGTTTGATCTAGATTTAACATGGCTAATCAATGTTAATAATGATATTTTTGTTATCAATTCATGTGAGTCGATACACTAATATAAAGAATCTGAATAGAAAATCAAACCCATATCAATAAACAAAGGGAGTGTTATATGAACTCCTCAAACTTCAATGGCAAATGAGCTAAAAATCAAAACTTAGCGACTATATTTATAATTTGCCCTTATTGTCCTCCCAACATGAAAATCTCTAGCCTCTTTTCAACCTTTTTCAATTCCTTACATTTCTAGATTGGCCCCTACCTCTCCAATCTTATCCATAAGATGTGTCTTTTTGAAGGACAATAGCTTAAAACAAGAGAACATTGATTAATAATTCTATGGTCTCTCCCCACTTTATATAATTAGCAAACATACTTTGACATTATTACCTTTTTTCCTCTCCTCTCTTCTAACCACCAATTGATAGGCAAATGTGGTGCTTGAGCTTTATTGGATAATTGTAATCTACAGTTCTAATTTGCCAATAATTAAAGATCTCCATGGTAATTTTGTTACCTAAATTGATGATCCCGTAAGCAAAAACAATGATTGTTTAGTGTACTTAAACATTTTTTTTAGTAGACATTGGGTCCCACATTGTGTGTGATTAAACATTCATGATACCAATGGGTAATGTAATCAAGAGAGACCATTATAAGATAGTGACCAAGAAAATATGAATTAATTATTAGAGATTATGTAACATTAATCTAGTGACTTATGATGATTTCCCCCCTTATTTGTAACTTTATGAAAAGTTTGGTGAAAAGGGTTGCGCTCTCTCTCTCTCTACTTATCCCATCTCCCAAAAAACCACCCTTATTCTATCAATTGTGTCCTTTAACTCCTGAGGCTGAATAAGAGCCAGCCAACAAATGTCACTTATATACATGGGTCCTTTAGATAATTGATATGATTCCCCAATAGCAAAGCAGATTTTGATCACCAATAATTAGGAGGATTATTAGGGAAGACACTTGCTAGTTTATTTCCCTGTAATTAACAACATGCTTGATTAATTTGAGTTCATCATCGACCTAATTAGTTGCCACTTTCTTTTAAGTAGTTGGTAAATGAGATTGTGGCTCATGAGTTAAGAGTAAAATCACAGAGATATGCCGACATCTAGACTCTAAGAAACTAGGGAAGAAATCGACCTTATTGCATATAGGAACACAATTATGCATGCACGGGGAAAAAGAGAAACAAAATACAATAAAAATGAAAGAGAAAACAAATTCCGGCGACTTCAAAATTTGAAACCTTGTGGTACATCTTTTTGTTTTTTGCTTGTTATCTTTAGTACATTTTTATTGTATATAAACAATGAACTTTTTGTTAGAAAAAGAACAAAGCAGGCAAAATTATTCATGTGCATATGACCAGGCTGCAGGCTGAATATGTGTTAAGGCTAATTATATATATGAAGTTCTACGGTATTCAGGGTGAAATCCGGGGTACCACATTCCTTGAGTAAGAAAATGCTATCCAGAACTTGAATTGACTGATCTTGCGGACATGATACTATACTCTAACCCTTAAAGATCAAAATGTAGGTCTTAGTTCTCTAAATCTTATACCCTAAGATCAATTTAATTAGAAACAATAATCGACGGTTATGATTCGTCCAAATATATGCAAAAAAATCAATGCACCATCTTATGGTTTATAGTTTATGATTTAGATAATTAGGATCTAGGGTTCACTCATTAAGGGTTAGGGTATATTATCATGCCCAAAAATCCTACTAATTCGAGGTCTAGATAGCATTTTCATACTTAATGTATGCGGTACCCCGGATTTCACTTGGGGTACCATTGAAGGCACCATATATGGGGAAATCTTGCTTATACTTGAATTTTCGTCAAGCATTATATTTGAATTTTCGATATTTTCTTTTGTAGTAAATCTTGCTTATGCTTTATATATTGAAAAGAAAGATCATAGATGATAAATTATATATGGACACAACACAACCAACATTACATTAGAATGAATCCAGAAATCAAAAGTGGTAAGTGGAAGAAAAATTAAATAGTGAGGGAACACAATCAACTATCTTTAGAATACCAAAATACAATGTGTTAAGAAGGAAAAGACATGCCCTAAAAAAGACAAATGAAACAAAAGAATATATATTAGTTTTCATATGGCTAAGACCCAGCCTCTCTGTCTGAGCTAGCTATCTGCCTCATCACCATCCATGCACATGAAGAAATGAAAGCATTATTATATATCACAAAAAATCAACTGATTGCTATAATATACTAAGGCATTTTTTTTAATATATGTGATGAGCTCTTTCATAGGCCTTTTTCCTTCTGGTGTTATATTCTTTTCTTGACTAGAACCACCACATTAACTGTTGGGGGTATAATGAGCAAGGCCCAAGTGGGGGGCAAGGCCTAAGCAAATTTGGGCTCCCAAACAGCCCAAGTGGGGGGCAAGGCCCAAGTAAAGGGGATGCCACATGAAGACAAGGCACAAGAGGCCAAGGGAGGCCAGGCTGTCATGTGGTCCAGCGCCTGCGGGCGCCTGTCACGTGCCAGGAGTCTGACAAGGTGGTTGGATGTCTGGCCAGAAAGAGACAAAAGCATTGAATGAAGGCAGGGAGGCAGAGAGGATCAACCTCGAACTCTGGTAAGTATAAATAGGGGCAGTCGGTAGCATTTACGCAGGTTGGACTCTCTCACACAAACTCTAGCTTTGAGACACTTCTCTCTTCCTAGAAACTAACTTGGGCGTCGGAGGATTAACGGGCCAAGGCGCCCCCTCCTTGTTAGTGTGTGCAGATAGGCGCCTGGCGAAAGAGGATTCAGGGGAGTCTGGCAAAGGGTATCAAGTCTCAAACAATTGGCGCGCCAGGAAGGGGAATATAGCCAGGAGCCATGAGTGAAGAGGCGCCCATGAACGAAGAAAGGGAAGAAATTACGGAAGAACAGTCGGAGCGAATGAGAGGGCAGACGCCCGAGGAGGAAGAAGGTGAAGGAAGTGAAGGCACGTTGCGGGGATCCGAAGGCGCCTCAGTCACGAAAAAAGAATTGTTCCGGATCATTGAGAATCAAGATGAGGCGATCGAGGCGTTGCGGCGTGAAGTGGACGCCTTGAGAAGGGGTGAAGGGATGACACCCAGCCCGACAAAGAAAAGAGAAAGGGCGGAAGAGACGGAGATTAAATCGGGGTGCCCGAGGCGTCCCGGCCTATGGCGCCCACGTGATCACGGGGCGCCGGACGTTAGTGGATGGAATGGATGAATATTGGGGCGCCTTTCACGCCACTGTCTTGTGAGGCAGCCTCTGGCGCGTTGCATATTATCGGAGCCAGCTGGAACCAACATTCCCCCACTCCCAGCTTATGACGGAACTGGAGACCCCGAGGACCACCTCAACGGATATTTCACCAAAATGCAACTCTATAATAGCACAGATGCCACCCTGTGCAAGGTGTTTCCGTCCACCTTTTCGGGTGTGGTTCTCGATTGGTATCATCAGATCGGTGAAGGGCGCATCGACTGCTTCGAACAGTTCGCAGCGATGTTCTTGGCGAAGTTTGCCAGCAGAAAAAGGCGCTCCTTGACCATAGGCGCCTTGTTTAAGGTCAAGCAGAAAGAGGGAGAGGCGTTACGGGAATTTTACGAGAGGTGGCTATCTGTGGCCTTAGCAGTGAAGGACGCCCAGCCGTCGGTGCTGGGGGTGTGTCTGAACGAGTGCACCTCCAGTGAGGAGTTGTGCAGGGCGCTTGCGAAGAGAGATGTGGTGTCCACAGAAGACCTGGATTATAGAGTGCAAAAGGTAATTGTGCTGGAGGAGACATTAGCGGCCAGGAGGGCAGATCGGAGGAAGGCACGAGTAGAGGAGGTCGAGGTACCAAGGAGGCAGTACCCAACGAGCGGTTCGGGCTATGCGCCCACGAGCTAGCCCCCGCCAAGGAGGAACGATATGGGGCGCCAGGCGCCTAGAGGGGCCGGGCCCTTCGCCGAGTATAACGACACCCTGAAGAATGTGCTCCAGCACGTCAAGGACAAGGGATACCACATCAGGTGGCCAGGCCCGATGCGGGGGCAACCCAACGAGCGGAACTTGGACCGATACTGCGACTTCCACCGTGAGATTGGGCACTACATAGCTGATTGCTACCAACTTAAGACAGAGCTGCAGGGTCTTGCGGACAGAGGAATGCTCAATGACTTCATCAGAAAGCCCGAGGAAAGAGTGCATAGGGCGTGTGTGGTTGGAGTAGTGAGAACAGGGGAGGAGCTGCCGCCACCACCCTATGACTTGGACCAAGAAAAGGTGCCTGACCGCGTGCGCCTGACGATCGAAGCCATTTCAGGGACAATGGATCTGAGGGAGAAAATAGAAGCGAAGCGTCGGTTGAGGGCGGCGTCGGCAGATGTGCAAGAGTCGATTGACATTAGCTTCAACAAGGCGCCGGAGGAGGCGTGTATGCTCCCGTCCATGGACGCCTTGGAGATACAAGGGGTAGTAGCCGGATGCAGGGTAAGGAGAATGATGGTAGATACAGGAAGCTCCATGGATGTGCTGTTCAAGGATACGGTGGTTCGCATGCAACTATCCCCAGAGATGATCAGACCATCGGAGTCGGTACTAGTAGGCTTTTCTGGGGCGCCTGTCAGAGTGATTGGGCGGGTATGCCTGCCCGTCACGTTGGGAGATCCGGAGCAAAGGGTGACGCGCGCCATAGACTTTGGGATAGTGGACTGCCCTTCACCATACAATGCGATCCTTGGTAGGCCGCTCCTGGCTTTGTTTAATGGGGTGGCCTCCACTTGTCATCAGACCTTGAAGTTCATTTCCCCGCAAGGGGTGGGCGTGGCCCGAGGACGAGGCGCCCCGCGTTACGCGAAGGAGACAGGGCGCAAGCGAAGGCACGTCGAGGCGAGAATCAACGTAATGGAAGTAGGGGAAGACGAGGCGCCCCGAGCCGAGGCGGCCGAGGAGGACCTTTTGATAGCGTTGGAGGAAGGGCGCCCAGAAAGGTGCGTTAGGATCTCGGCAGAGGCGCCTGCCGAGATGATGGAGCGACTCATCGCGCTTCTAAAAGAGTTCGCAGAGCTTTTCGCGTGGAGTGCCATGGAAATGCCGGGCGTCAAACCCGAAACAGCAGTGCACAGATTAGCGGGAGACGTCCTGTGCAACAGAAGTGCAGGAACTTATCGCCGGAAAAAGAGGCAGCCCTAAGGGTTGAGGTGGACAAGCTTATGGGCGCCAATTTGGTGGAAGAAACTTCTTATGTTACCTGGCCGTCAAATGTGGTGTTTGTGCCCAAGCCGTCGGGCGACTGGAGGATGTGCGTGGATTACACAAGCCTCAACAAGGCGTGCCCAACGGACGCCTACCCAATGCCCCGGATAGATTTGCTGGTGGACTCCACGGCATACCACGAGATGCTGAGCTTCGTGGACATGTTTTCAGGATACCATCAAATCCCCATGGCAGAGGAAGATCGGCCCAAGACGGCTTTCATGACGCCCTTCGGAAACTTCTGCTATCAGGTCATGGCCTTTGGGCTCAAGAACGCGGGCGCCACATATCAAAGGATGGTCAACAACGTCTTCCGGCAGCAAATTGGTCGGAATGTGGAAGCCTACGTGGATGACCTCATA